GTTCCTCGCAGGCTGGGCTGTCACAGTCGACTTGCTCTCAAAGGCTCACTACAGGGAGGCTGGTCCCCCTTCCAGTGCTCCGGGTGACTGGGTTTCTGTGCTGCAGAGGGGTGGGATCCCTGCCAGACTCCCATTGCTGCTCCCCACAGCCCAGGCTGCTGGGTTCTGTCTCCCCTCCCGACCTGACTCTGAAAACCTGGCTTCCCCTGGCTCCCCACCCCTTCTGCTCCTGGGTTGTCTCCTGGGCCCCAGGCGGCGGTCCTGTCTTCACCTGCAGAACTCGTTCTTGCCGTAAGCTTAGGTGAGCCAGGCACTCACTTCTGTAACTGAATATGTGTCCCAGATTAGGGCTTTGTTCCCTTGGCTGTGAAAACCCTGGGAACTCCTGGGCTGGACAGCGCTGCTCTGTTTACCTTACTATGCTCTCCTCTCACTCTCTCTGTTTTTCTGGTTCTATCTCATTTCTTTGTCTCTTTTGAGAGAGAGGTGGAGAACAATTCTCTTTCTGCCTCCCAGGACAAGTAGGAAATTAAGCCCACCAGCGAGCTAAGCATCCTCAGTGATTCTGCGTCTTCCAGGCGTCAGCGCTGCCTCTTAGTGGATGGCCGCTTGACAGTCCCCTCTCCTGAGATGGACCGGGCTGCCCGCCACCAATCCTCCTACCCTCCAAGCTGCTCAGTCCAGTCTGCCATGACTGACATGAGCTCATTTCCAAAAGAAAACTAAGAAACCACTCACATCTTCCCGTGCTGTGACCTCATCTCACGGATCCCCTCCACAGTCCCACGAAGGGAGGCTGGGCAGGTGCAACAGGTTTGCAGCGAAAGGGACTCCGCCGAGGCCAGCAGCCCTGGAAGCAGATCGGTGCCCTGACTCACGGCCCAGCCCTTCCCACTACACCCGGGAAGGAACTGGCCAGCCTGACTTGGAGAGGCCTCCCGATCCTGGCCCAGTGCCTCTAGATGACTTCTCCCGCCCAGGGAGAGGCCTCTGGATTCATTCTGCCTTCAGTGATAAGCCTTATCCAGAAAGGAAGCAACCTGTAACCTATAGTACAAGTCAAGCAAAGAATAAGACAAAGGTTAAAAAGCCCATTTTCAAACCCCATTTGCCATTCTTGCCTGGAACTTTGAATTTTTAATCCAATTCTGGCTTAATTTTAATTTAATTTTGCAGTGAACACCATCTGTTTAGATTCTGCATTTTGCATCAAACAGCGAGGGTCAGCTCCGAGGGAGGGTAGCACATCCTGGTACGGCTGCGGCTGCCAGTCCTGGAGACGTGGGTTGCCTCACTGCTCTCTCCCCTTTTTACCTTCATGCCCCGACTTCCTGTGTTTCTTCTGGAGCTAACGCTAATACCTACTCTTATGAATGTTGTGAAGACAGGCCGGGTGCGGTGGCCCATGCCTGTAATCCCAGCACTGTGGGAAGCCGAGGGGGGCAGATCACCTGAGGTCAGGAGTTTGAGACCAGCCTGGCTAACATGGTGAAACCCCGTCTCTATATTTAATTATATAAAAATATAAGAGCTGGACTTGGTGGTACACACCTGTAATCCCAGCTACTCGGGAGGTTGAGGCAGAAGAATCACTTAAACCTGGGAGGCAGAGGTTGCAGTGAGCTGAGCTCTACCCACTGCACTCCAGCCTGGGTGACACAGTGAGACTCTGTCTAAAAAAAAATAAAAATAAAAAATTTAAAAAGGAATGTTATGAAGGTAGAATTGCACCATCTATTTGTTACTGCACCATCAAAATAGAATTAATATGATTCTAGGCACTTGGTAAGCATTCAAGTGTTTATTTGCTGCCATTATTTCTATTTTCCTTTCCTATCTTCCCCCTTCTCTTCTCTCCCTTCTCTCTGCAGATGACTTTGCTCCTTGCTCCTAGCTGTCTCCTTGTCCCCCATAGCATGACATTTCTCTGTCCAGATAAGGTGGGGTTTCCCTGCATCCCAAGCCTGGTGGCTGTGTCCCCTGACTCCCTGGAGGAGGCACCAGGCACAGGGGTACCTCTTTTCTTTTCTTTCTTTTTGTTTTCGAGACAGGGTCTCGCTCTGTCATCCAGGCTGGAGTGCAGTGATGCCATCTCAGCTCACTGCAACCTCCACCTCCCAGGTTCAAGTGATTCTCCTGCCTCATCCTCCCTAGTAGCTGGGATTACAGGTGACTGCCACCACACCCAGTTAATTTTTTGTATTTTTAGTAGGGAAGGGTTCTACCATGTTGGCCAGGCTGGTCTCGAACTCCCAGCCTCAGGTGATCCTCCCACTTTAGCCTCCCAAAGTGCTTGGATTACAGTTGTGAGCCACTGCGCCTGGCGTCTTTTTTTCTTTTTTGAGATAAGGTCTTGCTCTGTTGCCCAGACTAGAGTGCAGGGGCACAGTCATGGCTCACTGCAGTCTCCACCTGGGCTGAAGTGATCCTCCTGCCTCAGCCTCCCAAGTAGCTGGGACTACAGGTGCATGCCACCATGCCTAGCTAATTTTATTTATTTTCTTTTTTTTAGAGATCAGGTCTGACTGTGTTGCCCAGGCCAGTCTTGAACTCCTGGGCTCAAGCCATCCTCCTGCCCCAGACTCCCAAAGTGTTGGGATTATAATCATGAGCCACCATGCCTGGCTGAGGGGTACCTCTTAAACCAAGGTCTCATGGCCTCCTTGTGCCCTGTGAGCTGAGCCATGATCATGGGGTCATGAGAAGCCTAAAGGAGGAAGGATGAAACAGGTTTTGGGGCAGCAGGATACATGCGTCGGTGTCCCTAGGCGAGGCAGTGCCTGCTTCAAGTTCTTGGGACCCCTCTGAATACCAGTGACCAAGGTGAAGTGCCTGAGATAACTGATTACTCTGAAAAAGCACTTTGTAAACTTTTGAGTACAGTGTACATGTTAGCATCACACCAGGCTGTCTCCCTCTCTCTGTGCCAGGCCCTCACTGCCTGAAGTTTTAATGAATGAAGGTAGCATGGTCTGAAACTTTCATTGCTCACTTTTTTAGAAGAGATTCTTGAGGGATTTCAGCAGCGGCATCCCTCCCTCTGCCTGACCCACCGCCTCAGTGTCTGAGCCTCCTGGGCCTCCACGGAAGTGTCTCTAAGCCCCAAGTTCCTTTGCTCAGTTTTTTTGGGTTTTGTTTTTTTTTTTGTTTTTGTTTTTGAGGCAGAGTCTCGGTCTTTTGCCCAGGCTGGAGTGTAGTGGTGCGATCTGGGCTCACTGCAACCTCCGCCTCCCGGGTTCAAGTGATTCTCCTGCCTCTGCCTCCAGAGTAGCTGGGATTATAGGCACACGCCACCACGTCTAGCTAATTTTTTGTAGAGTTGGGGTTTCGCTATGTTGGCCAGGCTGTTCTTGAACACCTGACCTCAGGTGATCAGCCCACCTTGGGCTCCCAAAGTGCTGGGACCTCAGGTGTGAGCCACCATGCCTGACCCCTTTTCTCAGTTTTGGAACCCAATTTTTTTTCCTACAGAAAGTGCTTGTTTTCCTCCATCTCTGGTGTAGCAATTCCCAGGCAGTTCCTGCCCAGTAAATACCTGACCATGGCCACATGGATGTTCAGTGCCCCTCCCTCAAGTGACGCACTTCAGATCCTCTAGTCAGGCAGGGTAGGACTCCCTCAGGGTCCTGGCCTGGCACCAGGGACACCCCTCAAGCTGTTGGTGGGGCACTTGCGGCTCAGAGTCTGAGTCTCCTCATCTTCCCTGGCAGCTACCCCTCTTCCTGGTGAGCCTGGCTCCCGCCACCCTGCCCTTCCCAAAGGGAAAATCTAATCATGTCACTCCAGCCCTCAAGAGGAAGTCCTGACTCTTTAACCTGGCTTACCATGCCCCTTAGGATCTAGGCCCTCCTCTCCTCTCCACTTCCATTCCCTCTTATCTGGCAAGCTCCTACTTATTCTGACCGACCTAGGCCAGACATCACCCCTTCCAGGAAGCCCTCCCTGATTGAACCCCTGCCCACTCCAGTCTGTATGTTTATCTGCCTCCCTGCTGGGCTATGTATTTCCAACATGGCCCTGAGTTGGTTCTCAGCTGTTAGCACATGACACAGTATCACTGAACACATGTCACCCTACTTTCGGGAAACCCTTCCTATCCTGTGGCTGTGGCTTTTTCAGGAAGCCCCTCTTGGAACAGAGGGGAACCCCAAACTGCCTTGGGTGTGAGAGGCCTGGACTGACGGCCTTGAGTGCTGCTGGCCGGTGTGTCCCTCCTCAGGCAGGGAGGGCCCTGCCACACCCTGCACTTCCTTTCATTGTGCCTCCCTTCCTGTTTAGCTAGACTATTAGGCTGGAGGCATTTTTCCTCCCTTTCAGGACCTGAATGGAGCTATTTCTCCTTCCATCTCCGCCAACATCTCCCAGGACCCACCTCTGACCCACTAGTGGGCTCGGGCATCAACAGCTTTGGGTTCTAATCCCAGCTGTCCCCATTCAGCTGGGTGTTGAGAAGCCAGGGTCTCACCTCTCTGGACCTCAGTTTCCTCACACATAAAAAGAGAAGTAACAAGGCAGCTCGAGTGGGATTGCGAGGGTTGAATGAGCTAAGGAAGTCCGTGCTTCTGGGAAGTGTGAGCCGTGGCTGTGTCATCCTGTCCCTGACCCCGCTGATGTGTGGGCTCGGTGGAGAGCCCAGCTGGGTGCTCACTGGATGCCTGCAAGTCCAAACATCCTGTTCTCTTTTGAACTCCTCACTGGAGAAACAGGGAAAAGCTGTAGTTTTTTCCTTCCACTCATATCGAGTGACAGAAAAAAACACAAGCCTATCTGGGCCGAGCTGCTTGACTCTCTGATGTTTGGGAGCAGATCTGAGCAGCTGAGCAGGGTGGCGGTTCCTTTCCTGGATTAGGGCTGAGTCTGTGGGAACCAGACCACCCCTGAGACAGGAGGCGGCCCTCATGCCTCCCCAGGGCCTGGGCCTGCAGCGAAGCCCCTTCGTCCTGGGGAAGTGGGGCCCGGGGCTCACATCTTCCCCACCCCTCCTGCCTTCTTCCCTGCAGGTGAACTTCCACAGCCCCCGGAGTAGCCAGAGGTGCTGGGCTGCACGGACCCAGGTGGAGAAGCGGCTGGTGGTGCTGGTGGCACTTCTGGCGGCAGGACTGGTGGCCTGCATGGCAGCACTGGGCATCCAGTACCAGACAAGTAGGTGCCTCTGTGTTGCATGGTGGGCTTGACTGACTCCTGCCCCCCGGCTCTGTCAACTTGGGCAAGGGGGGCTTCCCTGCTTATGCCGGGACAGGCCTCTGAGGCCAAGGAGGGAGCCGGTCCCAGGGCATCTGGGTGCTGAGATGGGCCAAGACCTGGGAAGTGGGCAGTATGGGTGGTATAAAGGTCTCGCACTTGAGTCCACATCCTAGCAACGTACTGGCTGTGTGACCTTGGACAAGTCGCTTACTCTCTCAGCCCATGTCTTCTCAAATTTAAATGGGAAAACAGTGCCCAATTGGGGGATGGCTCTGGGACTAGAGATAACATATGTCACGCAGCTGGACTTCTTCAGCGTTAGCTCTGGGTGCTGTTGCTGCTGGGATGTGGGGTAATTACACACATAGGCTGACACCCTCTGCTGTCTCCAGTTCCAATAAAGCAACAGTAGTGCTCTCTGTTTACTGAATTTGTTCCTCAGACCAAATGCCGCACCCCTCACTTCTCATTTTCCTCCTTGAGACAGCCCTGTGAGGTGTGGTTACTTTCAGCCCCCTTTCCATATTAGGAAACTGAGGCACTGAGGTGGAGTGACTTGCTCAAGGTTACGTGGCTAATGGGGGATTGAGTGGGCGCTTGAATGTGGAGGTTGGAATTCACCCACAGGGTACTGGGCTCCAGTCCAGGCTCCACCTCCCTCTGTAATCCTGGTGTGCTCCAGAGCACATTAGCACCCCCAGGAGAGCTGCCCTTCCGGGATCCAGCTGCCCTTTGTGTTCCTTGGTAGGTGCCTTTGTCTGTCCCACTTTGAATGGTGATACAGTTGCGCCCCTCTGATCCTGCTGTAGGGGCTGAGACTGGTTCTCTGTGTCCAACTGAGCCAATCCAGCCAGGCGCCTCACACAGAGTTGATGCTCAATAAACACAAAGTTGGAAAGGCTGGATCCAAGTTAGAAATGAGGATGGGGAATTAGCCAACTCCAGGATCTCTCAATCCTCTGTGCCCCAACATCTGTTCTTCTGATGGCAGATGGCTCACCCGGTTGAGCAGCCTCTGGGGCCTCTGCTCAGCGTCCACCCACTGACTCAGTCACTCACCCCATGAGGGAGATTAGGAGCATTCATGGGATCTGGGAACCTCCCCTCCAGGCTGTGTTGAACCTTCCCTGCTCTGAAGTTGCTGGCCTGTGAGGGTGGCCACACTGTGCTGGGGTGGGGAGGGGACTTGGGGACCTAGAAAAGAGCAGGGACTTCATCTGAGTTGTTCTTCCATCCCTTCTGGGTTAGGCACATAGGTATTCACTCATGCCACAAACATAGGTTGTACTTAAGAAATAATTGCTTGATTAGTTAACTGACTGTCTAATGGTTTATAGGTGTTTTACCAAATGTGCCTGGCTCAGCAGGTGCTTAATACATCTTTAATTAATTAATGACTCATTTTCAGGCCCTTAACCACGTGTGCTTAGCATAGTGCCTATGCCATAGGTGTGCAGATAGTAAAATGAATAATGTTTGAATGAACAAAGGGGTAAGAAGGAAGATGGAGCTGGGAACAGCCTTTTTCTGCTGAGTGTGTGTGTTGTGTGATTGTGTCCTGGTGTGTGTGTATGTGTGCACCTCCTCTACCAACAGGACACAAGCTCATTATCCTCTCCTGCGACTGCCTTCTCGCCTCATCCTGAATCGGCTGTAGTTCAGAACCTCCTGCTGGTCAGTGTGGGCCCTGGCCAGCTCCATCTACACAGCTCTTGGCTCAGAGCAGTGGGCACAGGCCAGACTCCAGCAGCCAGTGTTGCCCTGAGACTGTCCCTGGGAGTTCCCAAGATATGTCTTCACCAGAAACCAGGAGGTAGTCCTCAAGGGCCAGCTCCTGATGATCAGACCCAAAACATTTCTGTTGTTATTGCCCGGTGGGGCCCCTTGGGAGGCATCTTGCTTCTGCCTCTGTTGTGTCCCTCTCAGGGTCTCCGAAGGGTTTTCTGCAGCCTGGACCTGGGAGAGAAACATTCTTCCCCTGGAGTAGAGCTGGACAGAGGATTAGGTAACCTCTGAGCCACCTGGGAAAGCAGTGGCCACCCCAGATATTGACAGTAACCTCGTTACCCAGGAACAGGTGCCTGTGCTGGCCGTGTCTGAGCAAACATCCGGCCAGTCAAAGCAAATCTTCTGGCCAGGTGCAGTGGCTCACGCCTGTAATCTTAGCACTTTGGGAGGCCAAGGTAGGCGGATCACCTGAGGTCAAGAGTTCGAGAACAGCCTAACCAATATGGCAAAACCCCATCTCTACTAAAAATACAAAAATTAGCCAGGCGTGGTGGTGCACATCTGGGAGGCTGAGGCAGGAGAGTTGCTTGAACCCAGGAGGCAGAGGTTGCAGTGAGCTGAGATCGCGCCACTGTACTCCAGCCTGGGCAACAGAGCGAGACTCTGTCTAAAATAAAATAAAGTAAAATAAAAATGCAAATCTTCTGATGATTGTGAAAGGCTAGCCTATGGGAATGTCTGGGCACTTAGTACATTTTTACTTACCTTTCTACTGCACTTCCCTTTCCAGAAACATGCTGGTGCTTTGCAAACAGAGGCAGCGAAACAAACAATACATTTTCCAAGAACATATTTTAAAGAAAGCATCCTACACAGTTTTGAGACCAGGAACTCTCCAGATGAGGGTCTGTAAATTAAATCTAGGATCTGTTCCTGCCTTCTCAATTGATCTTGCATGTCCCAAAGGAAAGAAATGTTTGCTGCCTCTGTAGATGGGGAACAAGTGCTGAATAAGGTCTTTTATTTATTTGATTGTTCATTCAAAAGACGTATTGAAGCCAGGTGTGGTGGCTTATGCCCGCAGTGCCAGCACTTTGGGAGGCTGAGGCGGGTGGATCACCTGAGGTCAAGAGTTCGAGACCAACCTGGCCAACAAGGTGAAACCTCATCTCTACTAAAAATACAAAATTTAGCCAGGTATGCTGGCAGGTTCCTGTAATCCCAGCTACTAGGGAGGCTGAGGCAGAAGAATCGCTTGAACCCAGGAGGCGGAGGTTGCAGTGAGCTGAGATTGTGCCATTGCACTCCAGCCTGGGCAACAAGAGCAAAAACTCTGTCTCAGAAAAAAAAGGCACTTACTGAATAGCTGCTAGTTGCCAAATACAAGGCTAGGCAATGGAAATATAAAAGCACGTAGGATACTGACCTGCCTTCAAGTTCACATTCTACTAGAAGAGGTTGACAAGGAGCTGGCTATGACATAACACAGTCTGTGCTAGAATTGCAAGCACCCAGCCCACTGAGGGACACAGAAGGGAGGGGGTCTGGAAGGTTTCCCTAAAGAGATGGGGCTTTAGATGAGGGGGCCTGGAAACCATTAAGTCATCAAAATGCATGAAGAACTTCCCGGGTCAGGAATACTTCATGCAGTTTCTATAAACCAGTGAATAGTTAAATCATAAGGCCATTGCTGCTTAAGCACCTTGCAGGCTCCTGCCCAGTGTTCAGGAAAGTAGCCACTTAGTGAAGAACTCAAACCTCTGAGACTGACTTTTTTTTTTTTTGAGACAGAGTCTCACTCTTGTCGCCAAGGCTGGAGTTCAGTGGCGCGATCAGCTCACTGCAACCTCTGCCTCCCGGGTTCAAAAGATTCTCCTGCCTCAGCCTCCCAAGTAGCTGGGATTACGGGCTCCCGCCATAATGCCCAGCTAATTTTTGTATTTATAGTAGAGACAGCATTCTACCATGTTGGCCAGGCTGGTCTTGAACTCCTGACCTCAGCTGATCCACCCACCTCGGCCTCCCAAAGTGCTGGAATTACAGGCATGAGCCACTGTGCCTGGCGTCTGAAACTGACTTCTTGGATTAGCTTCTTGCTTTGTTTTTAAGTCCCTGTATGATAACAGCAAAAACCTTACTCAGTTAATCAGTCTGTCTCTGTCTCACACACGGACACGTACACGGAGATTCTGACGTGTCTTCCTGCGTTAGGCTCACTTTCTCAGCCTGTCTCCTGGGCATCTCCACCGGCCGAGATATTGTAAAGTTTTCCTTCCTGTGGTTTGATGTATGAAAACAATAGGTATTCTTTTCCTTCTCCAAATATGGAGTTATACCATAATACTCAACAGGCTCTTTCAGCCTACATAGACATTCTCTCCTGCCCCATAAAGATTCTGGTGCCCCCCTACCCTGAGTTTGGGAGCAGAGCATGCAACTGTGATTAGGATGATTTGACTTAGAGATATTTAAAATGTCACCATCACCCCCACCATTTCCTTTCTCTGTTTTCATGTGTAATCACTCCATAATTTTTTATGGCACACCTCTCGGCTCTGAACAATAATTTTTAATTGTTGTGTAATTATCGCAAGTCAGATCACCCTGATTTTCCTGCTGTGGTGCAGCTGTGCTGAGCCCTTTGTCAGCCACCCATCTGAAGGACTTTGTGTTTGTCATCAGGTGTCAACAAGCCCACGAGTGAACTCCTGCCCGCTGGCCTTCTGTTCATGAGTGAGGTGAACACTGTCCCTGCTGGCCTGTGCGTTCTTTGCTGTTCTCTAAACACTGGCCTGGAACTTCAGACCCTGAGACTTGAGGAAGCTGAGCCTCCATGCCCGGCCATGGCCATCATCACTGTGAAATTGGTCTTACCTTTCTTCCTAACTTTTAGATAGAGAAACTGAGGCATGGAGAGATGAGGTCACTTGCCCAAAACCCCCACTGGCAGAAGTAGAAAGCTGGATTGAACCCAGGCCTAGCAGCCTCCAACCCTGCCTCACTGCCTCCCTGTGCGGTGGGGAAACGGATCTCAGCAGTCAGGCCACACCAGCCCATGGTATGACCGGCAAAGAGGCGGAGAAGGAAAGCAGAAAAGCACAGCCTTGGCGTGGCTGGACTGAGACAGGCCTGGGCCCAGCTTTCAGCCCTCCGTCCTCCCACACAGCGGGTGGCCTTGTCCCGTTCATTCCCTCAGTTTCCTCATCTTTAACCAGGAACTTGATGGCTGCATCTGGTGGCTGTAATGAGTAAATGAGATCCTGAATGTGTGCAAAGGGCCGGGTGCAGGGCCATGTTCAATGAAGTCCCCTTTGGCCGTCAGCACAGCCTGGGTGGATGGACGATTGGGCTGGGCCTGTGATTCTCGGGCCTGCACAGTCAGCTTCGTTTTGCTGCTGTAGGCCAGGCCTCTGCGCAGGGCACCCAGGCTTTTCCTTTGGGAGAGCTCAGCCCCCAACCTTGAGGCAGGGACCTGGTCCTTTCCTCTTGCCTCTGGCAAACCAGTCTCTTAGGGTTGTTCAGCCTTTGGGTTTTTGAGGATTCCTTGAGGTCACTCACTCTCCCGCTTGTAGGGAGGAGCGAGTTTTCATATTTCCTCCTTTTATTCCTAATAGACTTTCCTTCTTCCTGTGCCCTGTCACCCATGTTGTTGGCATCACCCTCTTAGCACATGGTAAACGTTCGGTTTATTTTTGCAGAAAGGGCCGACATTTCTCCTACTGTTCCCTTTTGATTTTTGTGTATATCTCCAACTGAATTGTTAGCTCCTGGATTAAAGGACTCTGCCTTTTTATGCCCAGTACCCCGGTACTCCCCACACACACATGCATGGGCACACACTTGCACACAGGCACACACACACACACGCACACACATGCACTCCATCCTCAGCAAAGAACCTGGAAGATAGTCATTATCTTGCTGAATAAATGAATGCATGCATGAATGAATAAATATGTTGAGCGTCAAGGAATAATGAAGAGTTAATGAATATTTATGGAGGGAAAGGTTGATTAAGAGAAACACCTGGTTCTGGGGACCTTTTAGCCATAGGAGGGATTTTAGGCAGCTGAGTAGAAGCCTTGTGTAATAAGCCAGCAAATTGTAAATGGGTGGAAATCATTTCTCTGCAGGGGTCTAGTGACTGTCTAATTCCAAATCTGTGTGGTCAGGGCCGGGGTGGAACATGTGTCCCCAGAGCCACATGTTCTGCCCTCCCTCCCTCTTTCCTGCCTGCCCTTCACTGACTCTTGTCCTTGGCCCCTCCAGGATCCCCCTCTGTGTGCCTGAGCGAAGCCTGTGTCTCAGTGACCAGCTCCATCTTGAGCTCCATGGACCCCACGGTGGACCCCTGCCAGGACTTCTTCAGCTACGCCTGTGGGGGCTGGATCAAGGCCAACCCAGTCCCTGATGGCCATTCACGCTGGGGGACCTTCAGCAACCTCTGGGAACACAACCAGGCGATCATCAAGCACCTCCTCGGTAAGCACCCAGCATGGAGACCGGTGAATGGGCCACAGAGGGGAGCTGTCAGCTGGACCTTCCCAGCCGCTCCTGGTTAGAGGAGGAGCTTGGCAGAACGGGCGTGGTGGCTCACGCCGATAATCCCAGCAATTTGAGAGGCCAAGCGGGGGTGGATCACTTGAGGCCAAGAGTTCAAGATCAGCCTGGCCAACATGGCAAAACCCCGTCTCTACTAAAAATACAAAAATTAGCTAAGCGTGATGGCATGTGCCTGTAGTCCCAACTACTCAGGAGGCTGAGGCAGGAGATTCACTTGAACCTGGGAGGCGGAGGTTGCAGTGAGCCGAGATCATGCCACTGCACTCCAGCCTGGGCAACAGAGTGGAGTAAAAAATAAAAAATAAAAAAAGAGGAGCTTGGCGGAATGGAAGATCCTAGACTTGGGAGTAGGTGAAGCTGGGTTGGAATGTCTGCCCTCACTCATCGTATGATCCTGGGTAAGTCACATACCTCTGAACCTCAGTTTCTTCATCTGTAAAATGAGACTCATAAGACCCAAGCTGCAGAGCCTTGAAAACTAGAGAGCACACGTGTAAAGCATTAGCAATGTGTGTGTGGCACATAGGGTGTGCATCAGAACTGGGGCTGTGGTCGTTGCTTTTGTGGCTTCAAGTTTGGCAAAGCTTTTGACTAGTGTTGCCTGTGAGTTTTGAAAGTTGTGAGCAAAAGGGATCGAGGCTGAACACACTAGATCAGATTCTAGGGTTGTGATCCGGTGTAAGTTCTAACAACAGCTCATCAGAGAGTTATTCAGTGAGGTGGGAATCATCCTTGGCCTCACAGTGATCAGGCTTGCATGATAAGCTGTCTGGTTAGAGTTCTCTTTGTGTTTCACTAGGCCTTTGGCACCTCTAGTTCACCCCCATGTTGATGGTTTTATCCTCAGATTAGAGTCCCACGTCTGTCTTGTTTGCAGCTGTATCCCTAGTTAATGTTTGTTAAATTCCCATCCGCCCACTAGGCTCCTCCTCCAGTATGAAATCACAACACCCACACTGTACCACAGGGCCGCTCACCTGAACCCTCCACAACTGGGACCGTGGCCATCTCCCTCTCCTGCTGTCCCCTGCTCCATCCTGGGACCCTTAATGCTGGGAGAGGCTGGATTCTGAAAAGCCAGTCAATTTTGCCATCAACAACAGAAATTAGATCCGACAAATACTTACTTTCTTAAAAAACCTTTAAGATATTTAAAGGTAGGTACAATAGAAGATGCCCAAAAGGGGACAGATCTTCTCAAAGGGACAGAAAGCTTAAGAGATAGGAAATTATTCTAAATGGACAATTACCAATTTAAGGCAACTCAGTCTTTTAGATTACAGGGAAAGTAGACAAACCAGGTGAAAGACACCTTTGCTTTCTTTCCTGCCCCGGCCCCGCAGGGTAGAGCAACATAGGTGAGACCTAACCCGCCCTTCCTCCTGGTCCCCCGCAGCTCCCGAAGCAGCAGTAGCCGCCTTTGGCCTGACTCCCCGAGGATGAGAGCAGGGTGGTGTGTATTGAGGTAGAGTTGAGGCTCAGTATGTCTGAAGCCGCATGTCCAAAGCAGCAAAGCCCCAGCCTGAGATGTCCCCCTGCCTGCCTTATGCCACCAAAGTGCCCTTGAAAGGGGATGATGCAGCCTTTCATTTTAGAACTAGATGCTTAAAAGGCAAGCATGTTTGTCATTGCAAGACTGGAAATCGACGACGTCCCTTCTCCAGCGCCTTACATCACAGCCGGGGGCTTGGCAGGGCCCATAGTCCAGGTAGTGTTAACAAGGTGGGTCGGTCCCTCTGCTTCAGAGTCACCAGGACCTGGGTTCAAATCCTAACTGTGCCACTTACTATGAGGTCTTGGGTCAATTACATAACCTCCCTGGCTTGTTTTCTTGTTAGTACAGTGGGAACCAGGCCTCCTCTGAATTTTGAAAATTAAATGGGAAATACATTTAAATGTATTTAAACCATACCTAGGCTTGGCATGTGGTGTTTGTATAGATGTTACTGTTATTATTCACCCTTGACCTTTACACAGCACTTGATAGGTTACAGAACTGTTTGGTAGATGCCATCCCATTGGATCCTGCAGGGTGGAAGTTAGGAAGGTATGGTTCACTCCATTGGTAGATGAGGAAAGCGAGGTCTGGAGAGGTCCTCATGATAGGCTGGTGAGTGGCAGAGCTGGAACTTCCCTGACGCCTGGTCATGTGTGCTTTCCCCTGTCCCACACCACCTCCTTCAGGTACAAGGGACAGACATAGCCCCCTTTCCACAGTGTCTGCAAGAACCTGCAGGGAGTGCAGAGCCTGGGGCCCAAAGGAGGGAGAGACACTGATGTCCACCCTGTGCTGTGCACTGTACCAGGCTCTTTAGAGCCACTGCCCCCTTACCCTTCACAACCCCAGACTTCGGAATTGTCGTTCTCATTTTATAGATGCAGAAGTTGCAGCTCCCAGAAGTTAAGTGACTTTGTCAAGGACATACCACCAGTCCAAAATGGAGAGGGGCTCATGCTTTGGGGAGCAGTTAGCGTTTAGAGGGGAGGAAGCAGGAGAGTGGACAGGCCCTCTAACTTCCCAGTTAGGTCTAGAATGGGCTCTTGGGTATCGTGTGGGTTCTGATCCCACTGGTTCTGGGACTGGCTGTCATCGAGAGAGCCTTAGGTCTGGGCCAAGATTGAGTCTATCCCCACTGTCCCTGAGGGTCAAGCCGTGGGTGGGGAACTGCACCAAATGGGGCATGGAACAGCCAGAATCATGCATTTAACCCTGACTCCAAGGCCAGGGTCTGGTGATACCAGGAGGCCAGACCACAGAGTTTTGAAGCCCAGCAGTCCTGGTGTTTTAGCTGCTTATCACCGTGTGGCCTTGGACAAGTGGCCTGGCTTCTCTCCCACTTAGTTTCACTATTAGGATAATGATGCTTCCTAACACATCTGATTACTGTGAGTATTGACTTGCCTGGGATAGTTCAAAGTGCTCAGCTCAGAGCCTGGCACTTAATAAGTGCTCAGCAAGGCACAGCTGCCCTCCTAGTGGTGTGAGGTGAGTTCCAACCCAGACTTCTTACAAACAAGCTGTATGACTGCAGAGCAGTCACCCAGGTTTCTAGGTCCTCGGCTCATCGCCTGTAAAGTGGGAGCTAACTCAAACTCAGATCATTAGTGGGGCTGCTCTAAGGGTTAATTGGGTAGTCAAAGAGCAGAGTCATTGTTGGTTATTTATGTCTTAGAGGAGCAGTGGTGTGGACCCAGTTATCAGGAAGGAGGCGCAGAGTACAGTGATGACACACTGAGTATTTCATTTGGATTACTTCTTTGAATTGTCATGGTGAATTCATGGAGCAGGCTGTATTTGCCCATTTTACAGATGAGACTCATGAATATGAAGGAAATGTATTTCCCAGGAAAGGGTGAGGCTGGCATTAGACCCAGAGCTATAGGGCCTCGAAGCCTGTGTTCTTTATCTACTCACTCCACTGTCAGATTCACCAGGGAGAGACCCTGGGTTGGCACTGCTTGCAGGGAGAGCAGCCAAGAAGGGTGGTTTGCCTGCCTCCTTTCCCCAGTGGCTGTTTCCCTGTGCTCTCAGGCCGGGCAGCCGAGCCCCAGCCCAGGTCTGATGAACAAGAAGCTGGGGTCACCCTGTGTCATACTGACCAGGGGCTTCCCCAGAAAGCCTGTCCTGGAGTCCCCTCCCCCAAGGCTCACTCTTTGGAACTAGTCTGGAAACAGCCCCTCACCTGTGGGCCTTGATACCTGGGGCTTTGATACATGGAAACTCCTGAAGGGGCAGATGGCAAGTGAGTGGGTGACAAAAAAATGCAGGCATGTGGGCTGTGCATTCTTGAGCTTAAGGCCAGGCTGGGTTCAGCCTCTCCAAGACAAAGGGGTCAGCCAGCAGGCCTCGGAAGAGAGCCAGAGCTGATGGGCATGGGAACAAGCTGGGGGTGCCCAGGCCACTCTGACCTGCTGAGGGGAGGGCTTCCCTCTAGGCAGAGAGGGGAAGAGGGACATTCAGAGCATCATTGTGGATTGCATCAGCCTGTCCGGCAGGATGGCTGTTACCATCTGCTTGTGTGACCTTGGGCAAGCCATGCATTTCTCTGCCAGGTGAATTCATGCTAGCCCCCTCAGAGGAAATCCAGGCAGATCTGTAGCAGGTGGGCCGAACTAGGCCACGTGCCACCATGGCATGACCTGGCAGTCGTCCAGCTGGGGATGGTGACCTCAGCTGCAGGACACGGATGCCTCGTACCACTCTGCCACTCCCCCAAGTGGCCAACGTGAACTGTTCTTGTAGGTTTTGAAGAGATGAGAGTGGGTGGCCTCACTTCATCAGAGGAAGGAAACAGCCAGGCCCTTCCATGCTTAGACTTGGCCCTGCTTTGGGCTTTCCAACTGCACTTGTAGCTCAGATTATTCCACCTGCTAGAGTGCCTGCACCACCCCCTCCAAAGCCTCCAAGACTTTTCCCAAACCTGCTTCCTCCATTGCCTTCCTTCCATGGCTACCAAAGGGTCTCTGTAGGCTTGAGCTACAATTACACTGTGTGTACCTGTCATGTTGGCTTTGCTATATTTTATACTATAAGATGAATGCATAAAAAAATCAGTGTATGCTTATTGTGACAATTCAAGCAACAGAGATTCCATAAAGGAAAAACTAGCAGTCTGCCTTCCTTCTACCCCAGAAATATGTGTATTTCTCCCTGGGAAATACACATAAAATATTCCAATAGCATTAAATGTGTCCATGTCAGTGATTTGGCAGTTAATTGTGTCACCCTGTGACATCTCTCATATTTTCATTTTGACATGTTTTCCCAATATCTGCTGTCTAATTGAGTTTCATCTTCCTGTGCATATTGGAAGGAAGCATCTATGGACAGGATCTGCATTACAAATGCTTTCTATCCAGCATGGTGTCTGCAGGAGTGGGTGCTGCCTTCCCTTTGGGGAATGGTTACATGGACTGGT